AGCCAAAGCAGCCCAATGGCAAAAGGCCAACGGCTGCAATGCAAAGACCCAGCCCTGGTTACAGGGAGGTCGCCCAGCACAAAACAGGGCACCGTGAAGGTGCCCAGCAGGCTCTTAGGAATCTGTGCCCTGGAAATACCAGGGATGCTATGCCCAGGGGGTCCCTCGTGCCACCTCTTCTTGACCACGAAGCTGCTGATCCTCTTGCTCCGTTGTCTTGCCACGCCGTTCCACTCTTGACCTCGAAGCGTCCGATCCTCTTGTTCCATGTGTTGCCACGCCGTTCCACTCTTGACCTCGAAGCGTCCGGTCCTCTTGCCACGCCGCCTCTTCTTTCTCCCTCGACGCCTTCTGCCAAGCAAGGAGGAAACAGTTAGGCCTGAGAAGCTCCAGCTCCAAGAACTGAAGGGAAAGGCCACCCAAGAGCCTCAGAGGGAACTCTGCAAACCACCAGTGGGCCACACATCCCCCCCCAGCCTGCTCCAAAGCCTCCAAGCACAGCTTGTCCCATGCCAGTGTTGTATGCTTCAGGCCCTTCCCCTGTTCCCTTTGTGGCTCAACCCAGAAAACTGAAAGCTGCCAGGGACGGGGAAAAGGCCCTTCCCCACTCACAGCTGATCTGGGGGTGCTGCATTTGCCTCCTTGTATTCGGATACCGGGGCTCTCACCCTCCTTACAGGGCTGCCTCTCTCTCTGGCCAGCCAAAGCAGCCCAATGGCAAAAGGCCAACGGCTGCAATGCAAAGACCCAGCCCTGGTTACAGGGTGACTTCCCAGTGCAAGGTGAGGTGGACTGCCCTGAATTTGCCCATTACACTCTTAGGAACCTTAGCTGTTGAAATTTCAGGGATGCTATGCCCCGAGCGTGTTTCACGTGGAAGCACTTTACCTTGAGTCAGCTCTTCTCATTCTGTCTCTTGCCTCGTCATCCTATGTGATGTCTGCTGGTTCTTCCCTGACGGCTTCTGTAAAATAAGAAGGACCCAGTTAGGTCTGCATGCTGTCTCCTAAGCATTGCTTGGGTAGTACAACTGACTACTGAAACGCTATTTCTCTACATTACATCTTTCCTTTATTAATCCCTAATTTACAGTAATTCTAGTGTTTGGTTTTTTGCACCATAATTGCCTTTTTTTACTCTTTTTCCATTCTATTCATTTTTAGAAACCCATATCACCTGCTTCTTTCTCCCGCCCCCTCACAGCCCACAGCAAAAC